ATGTGTGCTCGGTAAGATATTGACACTCCGGTAATCCATTTGACGGACATGTGGGCAACCTAGCTAATCCTGCTCACGCCCACCGAAGATTAAATCCTGCGCAGGCTTCCTGGCTCGCTCGAGGTAACTTCGTCTAACCGGCGACGTAGGACAGGATTTAAAGTCCCATACACAGGCTCCCTTGTGTCAAACTTCATTCGTAGATACAAGAGGTTAAAAGCTGTTGGTGCCCCACCGAGGATGGATCAGCTAAATTCCTCTTCCTTTTCATCTTTCATTTGCGATATCACCTCTTTACTGTTTACTACTACGATGAAAAAGTATCGAGACTGATGGAATAATAGATCTACATATGAATGGCTCCACTTGTTGAATTTTTTAAGATTTTATCGTCAAAACGCTGTATTGGCTCTTCACTTTTCGTAGTAAGAATGTATTTCCTTATTATCGGACGTGATACCACGAAATAACAAACATTCTATTGCCTATGCGAGGCTTGTAATAATAATAAAAATTACTTCGGAGTTATACTCTTTTATACATTTTACATATTCTTTAAATTAAAATTACACCTGTAATAATGAAGTAAAATATGCTCCATAATGATTATTTACTTTTTCGTTTAACCCCTTGCCCTATGACGTCTTTCTGAACTGTGAACGATCTACCTACTTTGTTATTAATAATTTATTGAAAACAAGAGGAAACTCCAGTCTTATTCTATGTCAACGTGTGCTCTATGGTGTAATCATTGATGACACAGGAATAATATGTAATTTACATTCAAACGAATTGAATAATAAATTTATGTTTGTTTAATTTTATTTGAAATCTTCACCACGAGTCTGACACGACATTGTAGGACAAGGGAAACTTTTTAAATTATTGTATAGCTATCACCTTTTTCCACTTTTTGTATTATGGAGTTAATCGATTTGGCGTGTCAGCCATTCGTATGTATATTTATATTTTATATACTTTATCTATACATATTTTTTTATTAATATATTATATAATTATAAATAAATAAATATATATGTGTTATATAATAATGTATTCATTTATATTATATAGTAATAATATATTCACTTTATCCCCTTCAATATCATCCCTTCCTACAGCAGTGCCCTTCTACCAAGGTACTTTTTAGTTTTTAAAACATATTTTGTACTCGATTTTATATATAGTATTCAGAAATTGCAGCAAATACTCTTTTATCGCATCTAATGATACAAAGCTGTATTCACGAAGTGATAATTTTAGTAGAGGAAATAGAAGACAGTCGTAAAGTCCCATATATGGTAAATATGGCGCTTCTGGTAAAGCATTCGTCGAATGCTTGGCTAAACATTTGCCAATAAAGGTGCAGATACAGTGGCAAGGAACTTGCGACATTTTTTCCTATTAACGACCTGCAGTAGTACTGTACTTTTATTCCATTTTATTTTATTACTATGGCTTACTTTACCCTTTCATCCTTCCTTAACACTAACCGAACCGGCACTTTTGCTACGGTAACCAGTCAAATTACTGGCTACAAAATAAAGGTTAACAAGTTAGATTATAAATTGTTCTTACTAGAAACAGAAACTAAGGGAAATAGAAGAATTGAGAAACTGATTAATCGGACAATTGATATAAAGTTAAATGAACGAAAGAAAACGCTGAATTTTAATCTGGCCATTTGACCATTTTCTTGGTACCCTGAGTGTTAATCGCAAAAATGTTTTTCTTGGACAGTTTTTAGATAGCTAATGTATTATCAAACGGTAAGAATGATATAAAAATTCAATTGTACTTACCGCCACCGAGTATACCGTCTATGGTATAATCCTTTTTTCCATCGTCACCGGGTCGTCCACCACGGAGCAGTCTACTGATAGAACTGACGCTTGGAGGATCCGAGAAGCCTTCCTATTCGAAATAAGTGTCATCAGAATTTATAGAAATTTTATCAATATTTTTAAAGTTGACGTGTTCAAGAATAAACTAATAAAATACGTATCATTCTATTGAATGTAGTACAATTATTTTATATTATAAACACAATTATGTATAATTAAATAAGTTATTGAAGATTACATTTGAACTAAGACAAAGGTATAGAAACATTTATAAAACATTTATAGATTTGATTTATTATTTTTTACTATTATACACTGTATTCAATTAACAAACATTGATGTACTGAATTGTAATAAAGACAAACAATATTTGTAGCTAAACCTTGAAGATCATTTTCTTAATGAGGAGCTACAGTTTATGACATACGTAGTTTCATGTCTGTTAAACAGTGTCCCTAACGTGATGGTTTCAAAAAAACATCCCTCGTGGGTATCTTGACAGTGTAAGAGTAGTTCTTAAAAATTAAGGTAATTCCATAAAAAAAAGTAAAGAACATTCTCAACAATTTCACTTATACATGATTGCCACTTGTACTTTTGTAAACATTTCTTTAATTGCTTAAATCACCCTACGTTTAGAGTGAATTTCATAACAGAAAAACATAAAAAAGACACTTCATATGAAAAGTTATATTGCATTACTAATAAAAATTGAAAAAACTTCAGCCGAATTTATGTTACACACTTATTTATTTATTAATTTATTTAGCATAATAATATTGAGTATTATACAATGAAGAAACAAGATATTAAACTGATTAGCTATATACGAATCGTTGTTAATTATTCTTCATGCTAGTTTGATCTCTATTCCTAATTCACAAAGGAAATGTAAATTCGATATCGTCATACAACTTTGCATTTCGCTGAACGTGACATTTTCAATTTACAAATGCAACCTACTGCATTACAATTGTATGTGATTATTTTTGAAGGAAAACATACATTTTACCAAGCATGTTTAGCATTATTATACATGTGTAAGACACCGTTATGCGAAACTATATACTTACATACCACGCTTCGATTCTTTGATAATACGGTGAGCTAGGTCATGAAAATTTTCTAGCTATGTAGTGAGGTTGCAGGAGTGTGTGTAAGAGAAGTTATGGTATAAATTTCAGCTGCACCGGAATCCGCTTATTACGGTCACTTTGGGACTTACATTTTTCGACAATATCTGACTGATAAGATTCAGCGGAAGATAAACAATTTTCTGGAGCAACATATTTTAAAAAGAAGACGATAAGGAGAGATAAAATAATATATTGATAACGTTAAAAAACCGATTCAAAAAAACATACTTTATTCATACTTTTGGTTAATTTACTGTTAACGAGATTAACTATCTTTCTTTATTACGTAAATCAAGAAACCTATTTTGCAAAAAGCAGAGCCATAAATTTCGTTTTGCAATTGTTATCGATGGAGGCTTTTAAACAATTATTAAGAATATGTAAGTGCGTTAGTTTAAATCTTATGTATAGATGTTTTTCACTGTATTTTTAGTTGATATTAAAGTTAATCGTATTTGTTATCTTTTCAATGAAACTCCCTCTAAACAACAAATCGCAGGAGAAACAATACTATTAGAATTTCCACCATAAATCGACGCTAAAAAGTAAAACCTTAACATTACCTTTTTACGATAGTTACGTATGAACACTTTTCCTCTGCAATGTGTTTCATATAAAACTACGTAATAATAAATTGGAGATTATAAATGATAAGTGTGCTTAATTTGATATCCTGGTTAACACTAGACTACGAAACGTGTCAATTCGACGGATATCGAATTTTATAAACATTATTTACTAAATGTTCACGTTGATTTCGATCGATGCAATTACGCGAACGTGTATCCCAATTATTAAACCTCTAATCTCTAAAATCTAAATGGACGAATAACAATTTTCCTAGGAACTATACAACAAACTGTACAGTATATGTCGTTAAACCTAATATAAACACGTTGATCGCCACAAGAATTCAGAGCGTTTTATATAACATTCCTTATCGTGTCATAACAAAGGCACATTGTATTAAAATTAATTATTAATGATTCGGTAACGTAACTCTGAAGTTTCACTATTATTTAGTTACTCGTGTAGCTGAATAATTTCATTTGACATCAGTTTTCCTTTCGTAATTGTTTTCAACCAATTTGTAAGTTCCAGTCATCGGTGACCACCGTGTTAACAAAGGAAAATGAACCTTACGAGCAGCTAACTATTGCAGTAATTAAAATGTCCGGTAATAATAATAGATTAGTTATTGGAAGCTTGGATTGAGAATTGTGAAACGTGGATAGAACGGGCCGTAGATCAATGACTTAGTATCCTAGTTCTAAAGTTGTACTATTATTAATTTACCCGTGTTACTAAACATTCTACTCCGATACCAGTTCTCTCACAATTATCTCCAGCAATTTGAACACTCCAATCATCGATAACTGTAATCAACTTGTCAACAAATACCACCACAATCCCAACAAACCCACAAACTCGGTGAAAAACAAAGTTCCCATAGGAGCAAACGAAGAAAGATACCAGACAGCAAGGATAAAGAAACACGCGTGCTCGCGGTTCGGAAAAGGGAAGGCCGCGTTACGGAAAATAGAAAGTAACGGAGAAACGGGGGGGTACAAGGAGGAAAGGTGAAAAAGTGGAGAAAAAAGCGAAAAGAAGAGAAAAAAAAGCGAAAAAGGGGGTTGTCGGTGTCGATGGCTATCTTTCGGATCGACGATCTCAGAAACAATAACGATTCTTGTGCCGTTGATGGCGGTTGAGGCTTTAGGTCCGGGGCGATGACAGGAGGAAAGAGACAGAGATCTCTGTTAGAGAGCACCGCGAGGATCGGTGAGAAGGATAGATGCCGCCTCGGGGTCCTCCGGCCCAGGAACGCCTCCTCCCAGCATTAAATGCCGTATTAATGCCGGCTACGACCGCCTGCTTCCACGACTGCAACGGCGTACGCGTTCACGAATCTGTTTTTTCTCTTCGGCCCTCGTGTACCCTTTCTCTCCGCGCGGATCCCTCTTTATCCGACTCGCGCGCCGGCAGTCCTACCGCTCGTGCATTCCTCTTACCTCCGTAGAATTTATCTCTTTATCGAGAATCGCCGTCGGTACTCGCTCCATGGACCGCGGACGTGAATCGGTCCGATCGGCGGCGATGGCGGGGCGGTGGGGGAGATGGGGATGGGCCCAGTTGCCTGGAATTTCCGGCGGATCTTGATTTGAGAACCTCCGGTCCGATCCCGCGTTCCGGAGAAACATTTAGCTATCGGTTGCCGTCTTTTTTCGTTTGCCTCCTTATGGGAAGCTGCTACCGCCACCCCAATATCTCGATTAACGGTTCGCGGCGGTGCAAAGCTGGTCCCTTCCGACTTTTCGTATCGGACGGGCCACCATCGATCCTCCCTGGACTTTGTTGATCTTATTTCGGGGGATGGCTGAATGAGATTTTCAGATCTGTCGACGGTGCTCGGTGGATCTTAGAGGAAGTATAGGGGATACTTGTCTTCTAGCAGTGATAGAGGATCTCTGTTTATCGTCTTTCTATTACCGCGTTGCGGAGTTTTTAGCGTTAACCGAGAAGGCTCATGTGGAAAATGATTATCCTCTATTCCCGTTGCGAACGGGCGAAGCCGGCGCGGCGGTGTTTCCGATTTTTCAAGGTGTTCAGATAAACCCCCTACACGGAAGAGCTATTCTTGGAAAAGTCGTTTTGCATACTCGAAAATCGCGTCACGAACGAGGGAGCGTTACGCCAATGAGGCGTGGGTGTAGGCGGCGGGCAGTAACGTATTAAAGGACACGCGAGTTGCCTCGGGCCGCTCACGTACACCCCTGCCCACCTCGTGCACGCCTCGTGTACAAGATTAAAAAGCCCCACTCACTGCGATCTTTGGAGAGATAGAGAGACCCTGCGGAAACGTCCACCCCCGATCGGCAGATCGAACAATACCTTTCAACGTTTTCCCCGACGAAAAACTCTGGCCCGCTAGATTAATATGTATCGCGGCCGGATTCTTCGGTTGGTAGCGAACGGTTATTTCGTTATTGCTAATCGTGACTTCCTGATGCGGACCTCTCGCCTGAAACGATGGGTCCGGAGATGCTGGTATTGGTCGGCGAAATTTCTTTTCGTTGTTCCTTGTTTTATCAGGGACCGTGGCTTTTATAACTGATATGAAAAGTCGGACTGTAATAACAGTGGTCTACGAAATTGAACTTTCCGGTGCGTTTCGGGTGTCGTTTTTGTCTTTCATCGTTCTTTAAGTAGGTTTAAATATTTATTATGTTATTAAAATTTATTATATTAATTATTATTATTAGTAGTAGTAGTTATTATAATTCATGATCAAGATACAATATATGCTTACAGTTGAAAAATTGATTTTCTTAAAAACTCTGAGTGATGAAAGAAAACGAATTACATATTCGAATTCAGTGTGAGAAATATGTTAACATGTTAACCTATCATTTTTAACGGGGATAAAGATTTTTGTAAAATATGTTATTCTGGCCGTCAGAAATTGGTGGTGGTTAGTTTATCGATTTTGTAGTGGATTCGAGGCTAGTTCATTGATCTGCATTTTATTGATTATGAAATATGTGATTTCGAGTTAGTGGTGCAGGGAACTAAAGGGTTAAGTAAAATGTTTTTGACTAGGTGCCAATGATAACTATAAGTGACAGAAAGTCTTTTTCGTTGCTGCTAGATATTATTGATGACAGAAATTTATTTTGGTTATTCGTGATAATTCATACCAAAAAGGATTTATTTTAGTCACTCGTAAAAATTATATTTCGTAGTTGTCCATTTGAAATGTGCTTAATACTTCGAGAACATTTTTATATAATTGTCTTCTAATTTTTCGTATTCTTAAAATATTTCAGCATATTTGTTTCTTACATAAAATCCCAATATTTAAAATAATACTCCTATTTCTGTTTCAATAAGAAATAAGCGCTTAGATCAATTTTATGAATCAAATATCAGTTATTGTCCATTTTGTACATGATTCTAAAAAATATCGTCATACGAACTGCAATAAATTCCTCTCTATAGTTTAGAAATTTTATAATGAATTTTTCGATTTGATAAAATAGTATATGTTACTTCATTGTTTTACTTTGAATTAATGATTAATAGTACCTGTACAAACAATCAATAAATCAATCGAATACGAAAATCTCTTAAATAAAAATATCTTATACAACGTAGTTAATAATAAAATTTATTTCAATTCAGAGATCAATGTATACTTAGACATACACGTATGAAGCTAATACGAAACAATTAAAATATAGAAGAATATCTTATCAGTAATTAATAATTACTTTACATAATATTCACGAATATTTACACAAACAAGTTTAATATTTGTAAATACACGATGTTCGGTAAGAGAAAGTTTGTGCATTATTTCTTACCTTTACCAGTTTTTCTCGAATTTCCCACGAGAAGATGCCAGGATTGTCCCTCTTCATTTCTTCGATTCTTGCTTCGATCTCGGGGGTAGCAACCCTCGGTTTACTGCCACCGATCACACCGGGTCTGATCGAGCCGGTTTCCTGGTAGCGATTCAGAATTTTCGAAACGCAGCCATGAGACACGCGAAGCTGTCGAGATATAATGCAAGGACGAACACCTGCAGCAGCCATTTCGACTATTTTCAGACGAATGTGATTCGGAAGTGGTCGGCCGTTGATGAAGACACCTCCGAGCTGATTCATGCGACCTTGCCCTGACAAAGTATTGCACCAATCTTTTACTAGTCAATTCAAACAGCTGGAACGTATATTCGTAAATATTCAATGACACACAATAAGAGAATCTTAACGCTAGATTCACAGCCAGTTCTATACACCCGTCCCTCAATTTACATGGCACTTTCTTTACGGGATAAATCAGAACACTATTTACTCGGTAGTTTTTATGTAGGATCTCAACTTGCGCGATCTGAATTTAGTAACATCAAATAAAATGTAGGGTAGATCGAGGCGAATCGAATCAGTTCAGTTTCAACAGCGAAAAACTAATAGTTAAAACTAAGAATGAAAATTTATGCTCATACATCTGTCATTAATACACATTTAACTTCGGGATAGGTAAAATAAATTGTTTAAACGTGAAAATCTTCGTTTTATGAGCAGAAAACTGGAAAGGAGGAATATCCGATCCACCACAAAATTTCGGGGTGAACTACGTTATTTTTACGTTTAAAATATTTTTCACGGTGAATACTAGTAATAGCAAACACATTTGAATTTCCAAGCTTAGCTTGCCATTTTAAATGCGAAATTCTAACTACATATTTTAGACTAGCCACGAATTGGTTACATTCACGCGCGTTCACTTCGATGAACTATTGACGACGTATTGGATTAAATGTAGAGAAGGTGTCTGAACTAATATGAATGGTCAGCATGCTCATTTCTACAGCAATGTAACAAATATGGCTAATATTCTTATTTTTATCCGATTCGCCTCGGTGCGCCCTACTTTGTCTAACCGAAATGTCCTTACTATTATCTTATTGTTAAACTATATGGAATAAATGTGTACTTCTAAAGCCTAGAATAAAACGCCTGCTTTTCTTTCCAATATTTTGTTTTGTCTTCTACCCACACACTCCATGCGATTTTTATTCTCGTAAAACGAATCCACGTGGAACGGATTCCCTTGCAAATGGAGGTGTAAGAGTAAATGCAGAGAAACTCATGAACAACCTATACCGACAAATACCAGTGTATTCGTGACCAGACAGCAAGATGTTTAATTGAACACTAAAGATCCTACTGTAACCCAAATTATACAAATTTGGACTTAAACCACTACGATCCTACATCCCTACGGGTTAAAATACTCGTTTCGATGTTTAGAGAATGTTAGTTCGATTGTATCCGTTTTCGTGGTAATCAAATTCAATTATTGAGAAGAGAAAAGGCTGCAGATGAGCGAGCGTTAGCACAGCTTGGCATAGAGGCGGCCTAGGGAAAAAATTGAAGCGCAATTGCAGTGATTGGGCTTGAAATTAGCGGCTGAATCCAGGTTCGAGGCGCAAACGTGAAATCAGATAACAGGTCGGCGAGTTCGAGCCAGGGAATACCAAAAATAAGACTAACAACCGTAAAATTGAAGAAGTTATGCGCACGGGAGACCGTTTCCAAGTCTGACGAGTATAATGCCCGATCGTTAGTCGAATTAGCCATCCTTCCGTACGTGGCATTACTTTCTTTGCCATCGCACGCCGCGGCTCCGCCGTTATAATTACTGTCCTTGCATGCAAAAATTTCAGTTCATACACAAACGAACACCGGAAGCATACGATTACGTTAATAACATCTTCGGAAAAAGCACTGGTTTACGAGGAGCGTTCGGCAACGATCATTCTTACGCATGCGTTACGTCGTAAGATAATGATTAGTTTGGTTGTTATGGTACAAGTTACACGAAAAATGATATACTGGAATGATGGAAAAATTTAGTTGAGTAAAAATATCGTTGCATTCATTTCTCATTGTTCCGGTTAGTGTTAAATATCTCTGGATAGCAATAGTACAACTATATTGAAAATTTCATTGGTTCAAAGTTCACGATATTTTATCTCAGTGTGTGAGACCACACTTTTATATTTAGGGGTTAAGAATGCCAACATACTCTTTGGCATTATTTTTGAAGTTTTATGGTATAAAACCAGAATTAGCAGGCCGCTTTCAATAGCCCATCTTGGAGTTCCACATTTTTGAAGAAATACACGCACTGTTTTGAGAAACTTCTTGGCGAATTGGTTTGCTAATGTGCATTGTAAAGTATAAATCAATCGAAATCTTAATGAACACATTTTTCTCATTTGTTTGAGGAAATACGTATTAGGTGACTCGATGGCTCGGTAGTTCTAGTGTCAAGAGAATGGAAGAAAATTCAATCTTTCCAAAGTTCAAAATGGGATACCATTTAATTTTTTCTTTACAGATTTTCGATTGCGTCGAGACTTGGATAATAGTCAAATTACTACAGTGATTCGATGTTATTCCTTTGAAATAGTGTGCCGAACCAACTTGAAATTTTGGCCGAACCAACGAACTATGAGATTGATCCATTAAAACTGTTACTATTGTTGTTATATGTATATTATAAAATTTTTATTCTAATTCTAAGCTAAAATCTTATGTTAGCATAAACATAATTTTGTATGGCATTATTTTTAATGTAATGTGTAATCATTAAGTTATTAAAAATATTATCACCAATCAATAACTCTTGATTTATACAAAAATTTATTAGAATAGAATTTATTAGATTAGAAAATATTCATGCACGAAATGAAATAATTTATTTACAATATTAAACAGTTTGCTTATGGTAGTGAGAAAGAAACTGTTACAAGGTGGTTACGTGTGATTTTATCACTGTCTTCAAAGACAAGCAGAAGAGGAGATACATTTTGATAAGCCACCTGATTAAATTATGCAGCTGAATTTATTAGCTCCTTGTTTATTGCATGTAGAACGTTTTGCTCGTTCTTTTTTATTAATTCATTCAGTAACGACAACTAATATATTCATTTTCGAGCTATCGGAACGTTGCATCGAAACATGAATTCTTTATGTATACAAGATTCGAATGTATTATCAGATTGGATAATCTTAACGAGTGTCCTTCAAATTATCTACGAGTTTCGAGATAATGATGACATCCCTTTAAAAGAACATGAAGATACTTTTCAGATACGCTCATTTCATCAAAGACTAATATTTTCCGACGATCAAACACGTGAAATTCATATTATCGTTGATGTCAGTATATAACTTCGTTATGACTTTCTATGATAAATTTCCGTTTTCAATGGCAAACAATTTAATACGCAAACGCTACGGTCGGCATTATGGATCTTTGTATGTACACAGAAATAACTCTATAGAATGAATCGTTTGTAATGATAACACTAAAATTTCTGGCCCATAAAACTTTATTGCAACGTGATCATATCATTCTGTATCATTGAATTAGTTCTTGAATAAATATATTTCGTCAATCATATTGACGTCTTTCAATTTTACAGAAAATGACACGCGGATTATAGGAGCACTAACTAAATAGATAAATTTCAGATGATGAAAACAGCAAGGTGACCATAAACCGACCGTAAGAATAAGAAATAAGAAGAAAGAAGAACAACATACTTAATCTGCTTTAAATCTTTCCCGCGTTTAGTAATTCCACGCGTTCGTCTACATTAATTGGTTTCTAAGGTAAAAATGATATAGCTTCTTTCAATACAACTTCTCCAATGGAGCTGTATATTACATTTTTGTAGTTTATTTTTACCAATCCAAGTATTGTCTGAAAGTCTGTTGAATAAGGTGTACTCTTGGAGTTGGATTCTTTTGGTTTAGCTTTATAAAAGAGAAAAACTGTATATTTTAAAGCAAATGTTATTATATAGCATAGAATACAAGACAATTACAGTAATTATATAAATATTTATTGCCTGCAGATTCTACAATATCAAACTTAGACACAAATTATTGGAAAATACTAAACAGATGTAAAACACTTTTAAGTTTTATATTCAGTGTACAACCTTAAGAAATTTTCTGTCTGGTGGTAATAAACTAATAATATTAACTAAATAATAAACTGATTCTAACCAATGACTATCGTCTATTATATAATTAATGTACTTTTTCCTGTTTACTAAATATGTTTGTACAGAAATAACTCACATTTCAAATGGTGCCTAATTAAATACACAGTACAGTTAAATTTGATCATTTGTTTATTATAGACTTCAAAACGCTTCTACAGTGAAGGTATTTCAATTACAAAATCAATCAGAGGTAATTCATCTTTGATGCTATATAATAAATACCCTTACAATTGACAAATGTAATAAAATTTGTTTGAATTACAGACCAGTTTTACATTGTATTATTTGGATTTTACCATTGAAAATCTTTTCATTAAGATCTACATTTTATGAGAGTATTTAATGGACTCTTATCGCCCGTTACACGTACTTGCCTACAACACGATACGTATCATTTTTGCAAATTAATTTGTAATAATAAACAATACGATAGCATTGTTATAAATAATGTAAAATAGTTGTTTATTATAAAAATCAAAGATCTTAATAAATAATAAGAAATTCGACGTCTTAATAAATCAAATTGTATAAAGGAAAGTGGGGCAGAATCAGATTTGTAGTTTATTTCAATTTGTACCAAAAATTTCAATGGAAAAACATGTTCAGACATGTAGGTAGATCTCTTTGTTGGATTTTAAAGAATAAGAAAATAATGATTCTTTTTGGAAAAAATTGTTTTATTCATAAGAAACTAAGATTTACCGAAGATATGCAAAATTACGGTTTTGCCCCGTAGGGCTATGTAAGAACGGGTACCCTTTGAAAGGCGTATAAAATCTAATATAATCATACAACTTTTGTTTCAATAAGTTAAAAAATAATTAAACATTTGTTTTCAATAATTTCTACAACCGTAGTATTATTCTAATTAAATTTAACTTATAGAAATTTATATTAAGGGTTTAGGAACTTTCATCGTATTTATAGACAATTTGAGTTCATCTTAACTATGTATAATATTACCCTTAATTACTAACTAATCAAATATTGCCAATTTTTCTGAAATGAGTTAGAAAATATTTCTTTCATCTGTCACAGTAAATAGTGCGAAGCAAAACTGAGAATCCGGTTCTGCTCCAAATGAATTGATTTACTAAACTTACTAATTAGATATTCTACTTCAGAACATAATAGAGAGATGAATAAAATAACAAAGTAGTCTATAAAGACTATAAAATACGAATTAGTGTTTTTCTGAATGGATTCTTCAATGCTAAGATATAAAAAAGCAGCTCTAAGCAGCCACTTCACCGCCGAAATATCGCAATTCTTCAACTTGAAATTTTGATCTTCGTTTACACGGAACACTGTGATGATCTCTAATCTACAACTCGTCTCATAAATATTTTTTTCGATATCATTGTTTTAATTATAAGTAACGGATCTCAAATAATTCGGAAGCTTCGGTTATCAATGACCGCCGTGTTAGTCAACGTGTTAACCCTTATCACTCGGAGAGTATCGTAGAATGATTGCCAGTTGCTCAAAATAAGTTTTGTTCATTTCAAAGAGGAAATTCGATTATGAATGTTGGATAAGCATAAAATAATACGAAGAAACAGGAAATTAATTCATACATATGTTACTGTTACAATTGTGGTTGATGTATCCGTGCTTGTCAGTGAGACTGCCGGTTGGAGTGATACGGGATAAATTACAATTGTAGTGATTCCACAATAAATCAATGCTTGTGCCTGTTCGAATATTCTTTATATCGATAAAAAAACCAGCTGATTAACAGGTTAGGTAATTAATTCTGAATGACAGATACACCTTCAAATGACTGTAAATTTTGTAGCAACTCTTATACGTCTTCCAGCAACATAATGATTTGCTGAGAAAATCTTTAGAAGAAAGTTGTAAGTTGTTGTAGTTCTTTTCTTTTCTTATGAATGTGGAACTAAATATTTTAACAACTTAATGTTCGCATTAACCCTTTAACCCATATAATAACATATCAAACTCATGGTAAAGATTTTGAACTGAATTTAACGAGCACAAATATTATTCGATTCTTTTGAATTTAAATTAAATAACGTCTTCTGCTATCAATTATATTTTAGAGCAACGATTGATAATGTGTCTACAATTTTTTTTCTTAATAAATTATTAACGACAAAGTAGTTGAATCGATCATAGTGGAGAAATAAATCGTAGAGCTAAAAGTTAATGTCACAATTCATTTGGAGTTATTCGAAACGATGATAAGACTCGGTTGAAAAGTAATGAACTTTCATTTGTATTTCGACAACGAATACAGCCATTGCAATGAGATAAAAAAGAAATGATTCAGCAGCTAGAAAATTCATATTTATTTTTCTAGATAATCGCCGTCACGTTCGTTACATTTATGACAACGCGAGACAAGTTTCTTCATTATGCGAACAAAAAATTCTAGTGGCCTTCTTATACTTTAAACAGGGTGTCATGTAATTGGTGGTACAACCGGATAGGGATTGAGTCTATGTTAAAAAATAACTCGAAAATATAGAATAAAAGATTTCAAACCTCGACTTTAACACTAAAACCACCCAGCAATTAAAGTCACTTATTTCCAATTCCTTATAAAATTAGAATAATTCGTTTCATGAGATTCGAATGGCCTCCTCATCTTGTATCTTTACAAATACACAAATTTCATTTAAAATCTCTCACAGAAACGCTTTCATAACTTAAATACTTGCAAAATAATTATTCTCAAGTGAGTCAATTTGATCTATTCGATATTTTCATGTTAAAAATCTACTCGGTACACGTACAGTCGACCAAGTCTCAACTCAAAGGATATCACCTTCCATTAGGAGTGCTGCTGACTAGGGTAGTGTTCTTTATAATGACGATCAGTTTAGACCAATATCGTGGATAATGTATTCTCCTGTGTTCTTGAATTTAGTAACTCTTACATATCATGTGGATACTGTTTACAAACAAAATAGCCACTGTACATCGCACAAAAAATCGTAAATCTCGGTCGCAACGATATACGATCATAGCGAATTTTCATATTCAACTTTCTCAAGAATTCAACATCGATAATCAAACATCAATAAACATTCTTTGCTATTTTCTCGCAAGAAAGCACTTCTCACCTACTTTAACACTAGGTTTACGCGTCAACTCGACGCATATTGAATTCTGAAAACGTTACTTGATGAACGTTTATGTCGGTTCTGATAGATGCAATTACTCGCATACGTATCCTAATAGTTGTAAGTCCCTAATCTCCACGATCCAAACGAACAAACATCAATCTTCCCAGGAACAATAGAATAAACCATACAATAAACGTCCATAAATCTACTCATAAATGTCCATATCTCACAGTTTCCTCAACTTCATTATCTTCAAAATGATCACCTCCACATATGTTCGATTCCAGGAAAAGGTGAGAATCAAAAGGAGCTACCTACAAATTCTAAGTTGGATTCGAACGACCTCAAACATCAATCTTCCAAGGACATCCCGTTGACATCGAAGTCATATCGAACCTCGCTCGAAATGACAATACGCGTCAGGCAAAAAGACTGAGCACGTTCACAGAGAAGGGATGCAGTAACAATCCGAGTCCTCGCGCAGCCATCTTATTCCATTCTCGCGATACAGACGAAAGACGCTTCCCAGTCGACCCTCGACCCACAGGTTAAACTATCCCTAAACGTCCCGCAGCTGATCACCAGCGACAATCCACTCTCTCCGTCCCGTAATCCACGCGCGTCGAGTACCAACCTTGAAAGGGGTATCCACCGAAAATGGGCCTCATGCCGTTGGTGACATCCATGCTGGCGATCGTTGGCGGCACCGTTCACTAAAAAAATCCTCGCGTGTTCCCGTTACCACTGGTCCGATCCTCCGACAAAGACACAACAATCCGTTTCCACTGACGGCGGGTTTGCTTTGCTATCGGAAGGAAGAGAGCACGCCGACACCGAACGGCTCGCGGTAAAAAGGACAGGTAAGTCTCGTGGACTGGCACGGGGACCGAGAGGGACGGACGGAGGTGCATCGGCTTCGCGTGGAGGGCGAGGACACGCGCGCGCGGCCGATAGAGAGAAGAACGAGCGAAGCGCGGAAGGGAACGGCGAGGAGAAGACGAAGAGGAGAGGCGAAAAAAAAGGAAGAAAATGAAAGGAAAAACTCGAGCTCGCCAGGGGGACGCGGGCCACGAAGGGTAGCCGGTGTGTCCCGGGCTAGGATACTAAACAAGAAAACGAATAAGCGGCCAGCACGCGTAGCTTTCGTTGCGAGGGGTACCGGTGCAATAACGTGTCAGTTCTGCCACTGGTACCCTCGTGTCCCTCCAACTGTGTCGGGCAATGGGGGGCTTTCTCTCTTTCTTTGTCAAGCCCGGCTGCCTAGAAAAAAGGAAGGGGGCCGTCGAGGCCCTGGGACTAACGGGGTATATATCACCGGGGTCTCAAGCTCGGCTACGCCCTGCTATTTGGTTGGGTAACCGATCACCTCGCGGTGGGCGTGCTTAGCTACGGGAACGCCTACCGAACGTAGTGCCGCGTTCACTGGACGATCGCGACCGGTCTTCTCCGCGCGTGGCCTTCTCGCTTACTTGCTCTCCTAGGCCCCAGGATTTTGTAAAACCGTGTACAGCTCTTGCCATGCAGCTTATGAGGCCGATAAGAAAGCTGCCGCGGTCTGAAAAGCTTGTCAGCCCATCGCCGCTTGCCACGCGTCCCCGCCGGAACGAAGCCATGTGACGAAAGCGGACTCGGTGAACGCGGCTTAACCCTTTGCACTCGAGAGCCGACTCACTGTCGCAATTTCGTTTGTCATGGGGGAATTTGACAATTCTGTGCTAGGTATTAGCATTTTGTGGAATGTAATTGGACATGAAATATTGGGATGAAATAGTTTTGATACTTTATTCCTGTATTGTTCACTATGGAAAGATTCATCTGTTTTATTAACACTAGAACTACCGAGCAGTGCAACTGATATTTAAATATTCTTTTATGGAAACCGTAGAAGTGTGTTGATTAAAATGTCAGTTAAGTTATATTTTAATTTGTGTATCGATGAATCAACTATTTTAATCATTTCTTGAAGAAGCATTTATATGTTTTCAATTATTATGAATGAATAAATAAGGAATGGGTCATTTCTACCCATCTGGTAGTTTTAGTGTTAAGAAATGATTGTTGTATGCAACGGAATAGATTTCGAGTGATAAAAGTTAATTGTTTTTCTGTGAGTGTCGAATATAGTCGAATGTTGACGCGTTCCCTTTCGTTGCTGATTTCGACTTTAGAGCAGGCATTGGAAACATTTTCTTTTTTCTACTGGGACAGTCGGAAATGATTCATTGAAAAACACTGTTTTACTCATTATAATGAATATTGTAACCTGAATTGCGCCGTTTGCTTCGTTGTGCGTTCAAGATAAGATAAAAAGGGGAAATATATCATCAGAAGAAAAGAAACTAGGTTTACTATCAGTGTTCATAAAATAAAACCCTACAGTTTGTATTAAAAAGTTCCATACTAGTATTTTAATCTATATCAACGATATCGGTATAAATATGTAAATTTTATACCATATTTGGAATATTAGTGATTAACAGGTAATGCAAAAATAATTGAAAATTAAAAACATTTTTTATTCATAATTGACGTTTTCCAAAAATAATCCGAAAATTTGATTAAGTAGCGAAAGGGTTAACATCGCAATCTACGCTGCCGGATGGAGGAGAGATTAGATTGAATGCTACGAAAAGAATGTTCAAACATTGTAATGTGGGATTGTAGATCATTTCTATATAAAACATTGTATCTTTTGCATTAATTTGTTTGAAGATGGAACTTTACAGTTTCATGTTTGGAAAAACCTATAAGATTAATTGTAAAACTTTATATAAAATATTCTCCTACTGGTACACGCATTAAGTAAACGCAATCGTAAAATATAAGTTTAAAGAAGGAATAAAAATAATTTTTGTGCAATACTCCGGTATTTCCTGAAGTTCTATTCAATTTATATCATTTAGCATGTATGGTGATCATGATATTAGGTGTTCCACATAAAAATATCCTTACAAACTGGTTTATATAAGTATTCAACTTCTGTCAGTTCGACATTCTTCAGTTCTAAGTCCATCCAATGAATACAACTTCGGCGAACTGCAATTCATTTCACTTGGCAGGTGCTGAAAGATGGAGTAATACACGTTACTCTGCGTCTTTTAATATACTAATTTTCTTCGGCGTCGTCTTTTCATCAATTCCCCAACAATTTAAAATTCAAATTTATTCAGCTCCCGCTTAATCCATCACTGCGTAATATGTTAATGATGATTAATTCTGAATGGAAGAGGAAGTGTTATTTGAAATAGATTCTATGGATCCAACGTATCGATTTTTGCTTTCCAACCGAAAGGTCATTGATTCATTAGTAATTCTTTAAATTTATTGATACCTTTAAAAAATCTATAGATTTATTACGTGAATCGAAACATTTTTCACTTCCATGTTCTGAACATCAAACACTTCATCAATCAGCATTCAATCGAACTAATTAAAATACTGTATAAAAAATTAGCATTGATTATAATTTCATTACCCTAACGTCAACAATTTCAATTTCTTTGACGCAACAAATTGTATGCTGGCAGCTTCGAACATCTAATAAGATTGTATTATATAGTCTTTTGAATTTTGGTCGAGTTTCGGTGTAGCCCACATTTAACAATTCCCAGGGTCTGCTCAAGAAAGATATTCTGCTTGCCTGCAAACGAGTAATATTTACAACCGCCACTGTTCGGAGGCAAAATCACAATGAACGCATGATGGCCTGGTATAAATTTTTTCGAAGGTCTTCCGTGTAAATGGTCTTTCGGCTTGTAAATCTTCGCGCGCGGTAGCGAAACAGGTAGCAGGAAGTTTGTCGAAGTTCGCGTGATGTCCTTGGCGTTGGGAACTATGCCGATGGAAAAAGGGCGATTTTCGAATAATGAATCTCCGAATATTGAAAGCTTTGTTCGGCCTGTAACGGACATTCTAAAGATTTATAATTATCGGCGATGATCCGTGATAATTGTTTTATGGTGTATATGGGGTTCTCTGTTTTTTGCAAATGAAGTAACACCAAGGTATGCCATAACTGATGACGCTATTATGATACGATGTAAAAAAGATATGGGAACGTGCAGTTAAAACTTTTTTATACGATTATCGTCTTCGGGAAGAAGTGGCTTTGCACGTTCGTAAAATTCACACTCGCGGTCACTAAATTGATTTTCTGAAAAATCTTTTTGGTGAATATGTCTGCCGACATGGGTAATGTTAGAAGGTCAACATCAAACTTTCTTATATTAAGACTATTTAATTAATTCTGCTCTTATTTTATTACTTCATTCTACATTTTAAATAAAATTTCAATATTTTGTAATTACTTCTATTCTAATTATTATTGCGCTGATTTCATTTATAGTTTAATTCATGCCTACCAAAGCCGAATTATTTCTCTTGTATAGTAATGATCAATTATCCTGAATTCGGTTCTTGTCATTTTAACATAAATAATATCTATATATAATAAACATACATATTATAAACGTAGGTATACATTTTTGTCCCTTCTATTACGATATATTATTTAAATAATATTTTGTACTAGATATCACTATATAATAACACTAAAATTTAATATTAATATCGAAATTTTGTAATTAAATGCAGCTCGAATGAAATACGAGTAAAAAATTGAATTGAATCGCGTACGTATTACAAAATAATTCTTAACGATTAAAAATAAAATAAATATTACAGCGACGTTTGAGTCAAGTTTTTCCGTCTGCTTCTTGGACGACACGTCATAACGCGTCACTGTCCGCACTTAAACTGACCTGCCTCACACGCGCCATTATCCCGGAGTCATCATAGCTCATAGAGATTTCTAATCATGAATAACATAAAAAATTGTTATAGCCTTATTGTCATAGTCTTACTATAAGTAATACAATCACTCATTAAACCGCGTGTCTACTGCGCCTAGCTAGCCACTCTCTATATCTATGTATCTAAGTAGGTAGGATGTAAAGTGTCTTGTAGTTATATTTTCTAAGTCGTTGGAAATGGCAGAAAAGGTCATTCCACAGAATTAAATACTTTGAGATATAGTATTTTTTTATGTATGAAATAATATATAAATAATATGTGTGTATACATATAGACATAGAATGGACGTGCATATACATCGGTGTCTAAAAATTAAGGGTGCAAACTGGAAATAGTATAGTAAGCCTAATTACCATTTTTGTATAATTATTATTTTTCTTTCAACGATAGTAAATCATATTGCATGTACATTTGCAGCTTCTGTGTTAAATAATTATACATAGGTGTATCAAGGGGAGATGAAAACTGTTACTAGATCGTAGTTTACATTTTCATCGAAATAATCTAGTGATCATTAAGGAATGTAATAAATTCGTAGATTATATCGTCCTATAATTTATGTTAATAATTTTCTTCTCGTCATTATTCGAGGTATCCAGAACACTACAAACTTTCTATTACATAATTGAGAAATTAATTAAGAAATCCACTGACGTTCTCCTATTCTCCTTTAATTTCTCACAAAAAACATATTCAAAGTCATTCTTCATAATTAAAAAAACGCCAAAAAATCAAAAAAAGAATTCTCTTAAAAAACCTAAATTTTCTCGTATCGTATATTCATAACAAGAATTATCTAATATTTATACAACATTAATAATGCTTTTTACGTAAGATATTCATGACGCGCGCAGGGGGTTGCAGCGGGCAGCAC